GGAGTCATTTGCAATATTATTTCAGCTGCGAGTGGATTATAGTTAGTTATAAGAATCCCTCCACCATGCCGAGATGTCCACGAAATTTATTTGCTGTGCTTTGCCCTCTCGTTTTTCACTGGGAAAGGAAGCCAGCAAAGCATGTTTATTCTGGTTCCCAAAGGAGAGAAGGACCACATCCCTCCACCCCTAAAGAAAACTCTCTATTTGAAATGTCTTTTCCACTTACCCTGCTCTGAATAATGGAGTTTCTAAACTCTTTTGTTTTTCTAAATATTAAATTTTCAAAGGAAGGATATTTTTGAGTTCAAAGCACCTATTTCAAGTCTTTAATGGTTCTCTTGGTCTGGCATTCATCAGCAAGAATTTTTAAAACAGCATCCTATGGGTCAGTTCAGTAGCTGAAAAGACTGATCCAAGCCAACATTGTTGGCACATAATGCTGAGACGAATCTCCCCACAAAATCTTTGCTGTTCGTTGGGTTCTGGGTCCTGGAGAGGCCATCTGGACCATCACTCTGTCTCCAGGCAGGCTGGTTGGGGGGCCAGCACAGGGTGGGATTTGTTGGGGCAAGTAGCCTAGAGTCACACAGCACTGGCCCCCCATATTTCTCAGCCTGCTGGGTGGATTGACCGAAGGCTGGAGCTGCCGGGAGTAGGACGCCATGCAGCCTTCTCATGAGCAGGAGACGGTCAGTTCACCCTGAACTGGCCTCAGCACCTGGGATTCTTAGACCAGTGGCCCAGAATCCACCCTGGACCTTCTGCTGTTGCTCTGGCTCTGAGCTTCTTCAAAACCACACTGTGGGAAACTTGAAGACTCAGAAGAATGAACTTCTGAAATCCAAAGCAAGCCAGTTCCTGTCATCTTTCCTCACAGGTCCTTGTGTCCGGTTCCTCAGTCGTTCTGTGTGTCTCTGGTCACGTGCACCATCCTTGCTGCAGAGTTATCAGTTTCTAGGAATGTCACCATTTCTCAGTGGGGTGCTATTGGCACTGGAGGTGGGCCATTCTCTGTCCTGTATATTGCAGGTCATCTAGCAGCCCTGGTTCAGCCCCCCAAATTCCAGCAGCCACCTCCAGTCATTATGACAACCAAGAATTCATTCTCAGCCTGGAGTTGAGTGGTGGTTGCAGTGCAACCCTCAACCTGGTGGTGAGCAATACCACCCTCAGTCGGTCTTCAGCCTGTGGGCGGGCAGTACCATCTTCAGCCTGTAGCGGGGGCAGTACCA